CGTGACACAGGCCAGCGACAAGCATCAGGTAGAAGTATATGCAGTGGTGTGTTGCATGCTTAAATACGCTATGATGTGCGGGCCTCGTCCTTCTCGACCTTGTGCCACTTGACGCCCCAGCGGTCGTAGAGCTCGTTGGTCGTGGCCGCGCCGACGTGCGACTTGCGTCGGTAGCGCAGCGCCTTGTGCAGCAGCGCCGCGTTGCAGTGCGTGGCCGGGTCCAAGTCCAGCGCGGCCTGCATCTTGGCGATCGTCCGGTCGAACTCGGCCTTCGTCGCCTCCTCCGAGTAGTGCAGATGCAGCGTCGGTCGCTTCGCCGCCATGAGGCCAATTCCACAATGGGAAAAGATCGCAAGCTCAAAAATAGAGACTCCTGTGATTGGTGGATAAAGTCATCGCTGGGGCCTCGGATTGGCGGAAAAATACTCAACATGAGGTGATTGGTCGAAACCGTCGAAACGAGTGCCGCTAGCCAATGAAAACGCTGCATTTTCAACCCCGATCTTCGAAGCGCAACCCTTTCGAGTTGCACTACGAGATGCTCCGAGATGAGAGTATCTGACGAGCTAGCATGACGAGCCGCATCAGTTCTTATGGCCCGTTGTGACTGCTCGTATCTTGGTCCTTGCAGAGTCGACCAGCAAGGCTCGTCATCAACGCCATCGCGTTAGCTAACCTAACGAAGAAGGCCGTTGGACAGAAATAGGCCGTCGGAATGTCACGTAGGTTCCTCACCGGTGCGCAGGGAAGTCACTGTTCTTCATCGTCAACGCGTGAGACGCTGGCGTTTCGACCCTGCGATCCGCGCGCAAGATCCCAATTTTCCATTCCATTTCGCCCATTTCATCTGCCACCTCGCCATTTTCCCCAAGTTTCTGGATTCTTGTAAGTCCGCTTCGCACTTGAATGGAGTATTGCGTTGGACAGGCAACGGGAAGCGCACTTTAACGGGTCCCAATTCAAGTCTGCAAGCCACGATGGTGCTCTACATCGACGACCACGACGACCGGAATGGAGCCGCCGACGTCGACATGGGCGAGCCCATCGAGGGCATGGCCGACTGGCGCCGCCAGCTCCACGCCCACGACAGCATCGACGTGCAGAACGTATTTGGCACCTGGTGTGCGGCCATGCTCCTCGAGGTCCACCACCAACGCCAACGTCCATCGCCTGACGTAGCGTAGGCGACGTCGTCGTCCGTGCGAGTGCGCTTCCACAACATGAACCCGGCGTGGGACGCGTGGTATCCCAAGCACTCGCGCTGCCTCGCGCCGTCCTCGACCAAGGTGCGCCAAGCCTCGAGGCCTCCTCTGCGGTAGTAGTCGTGTCTCTGTAGGCCAGCAACGACGCGCTGCCGTTCACGCCGGCGCAGACCGTCGACCTCTTCTTGCACACCGAGTGGAAGACCGCGAGCGTGCTGCGCGTCCGCACCGACGAGGTCTTTGTGCGCGTGGCCGGCCAAGGTTCCACTCTGCGAGCACGGGACTTGAGGCTATCGCAACGTGCTCTAGAACGATGGGTGCCCTTCCAGCCGTCCTGGCTCGCGCCGCACGGCTGCCACACGGCCGCGCCCGTCCCGTCGGAGCACATCATGATCCAACACACACGCCGCGCCGTGACCACAGGGTCCGCCTTTGACATGTACTGCGCGGCGCTATCCCAGCACGAGCTCGATCTCGTCCAGGTGCCTGGCGATGGCAACTGCCTCTTCCGCGCCATTAGCCACCAGGTACCATTCTTCCGGCGCGGCTTCAAACTTACGTCGACGATGTGTCAGGTGTACGGTGACGACCAGCACCACGCCGTCGTGCGGGCGAGCTGCATGGACTACATGGAGGCAGCGAAGGCCTACTTTGAGCCATTTGTCGTCGGGGACATGCCGGCGTTTCTGCGCTACGTGGCGCACAAGCGAACGCAGGGAGTCTGGGGCGACGACCCGGAGCTCCAAGCGCTCTGCGAACTCTACGACCGGCCGCTCTATGTGTTTGTGCATGACCCGCGCGTCGGCGCCAGCGTGCTGCGAACGTTCCACGAAGCGTCGACCAACCCCCGTCCGCCGATGCGGTACCCCTCCAGGCTCTGCGTACCCTCTCTGCATATGTTTTCTAGTGTGAGCTTTTACGGCGGCGGCCATTACGACTCGGTCGTGCACCGCCGCAGCCACGCCCTGCACCTCCTGCGGTCATCAGAGACTTGTTTGATTCCGTGGATGCTCATGCAAGGATAGAGACCCGCCGGGAACGTACGAGGCACTGCGCCTCGCCGACATGCAGCGGCACCTGTCGGAAGAGAGTGACGCCCTCGAGGTTACTTGAGTGTTTTTTGGTCTTTTGCAGCATCCGACTCGACGTGCGTAGCGATCGCGCCTCGAGTTTCACGGCCAAAGCTCGCTCGAAGACGCGTTCGCTGCGTCTGTTGCTGCGTACGAAGCGCACGTCGCATCGACCGTGGAGGCGAGCGAACTGGCCACTGTCCAAGCCGAGAGCGAGCGAGACGCGCTCCAGGTATTCGAGAGATACATGGCGTCAGTTCGAACACTCTCTGGGCGCAGGCATCGCTACTCAGCAGTGCGCAAGCCGCGTCGGAGCACGACCTCCTGCAGCAAGCCCTCCAAGCGTCGCTCCAGGACGCTCCAGTGGTATCTTGCGATGTCTTTCGACGGCTCATCATGCCCTAGGCCATCAAGAAAAATGAGGACGACGACGAAGCCCTTCTCGCTGTGGCGCTGCAAGCGTCGCTCGAGCCGACAGCGTCGCTGGATCCTGTGCGTTGTGCCTCCAAGGAGAAGAAGCTGATGACTGTGTAGTACGACGAAGCACTGCGGCGAGCGCTCTCAGAGTCGACGCAAAGCTACGCAGACGACGACGACGACGCGCTCCAGCTCGCGATCCAGCAGTCGCTACTGTAGCACAAGAGTACTTTGGTTGGATACAGTTTTGCCACTTGAGGGTCAAGGAGTGTTTTTGAGGATATCTTGATGTTGTACACGGGGCTTGGCACGCCGTCGATGACGTGGAGGGTGTCCTAGACGACCAAGTACGTGGTGTCAGCGTGAACGGCAGCGCGTCGCCTTGCTCTGGACGGCGATGATTGTCTTCTTCTTTTGCCGGAGCTCGTTCTCGGGCAAGCCAAATCACGTCAAGTGGCTCATGAAGAACCACTGGAACGTACTGAGGCGGCGCCGCCGTTCTTGCCTTCGGCCTCCACTTCGATCCCGTCGAGGTAGTCGCAGACAATCGACGACGAATTGTACATGGCTTGGCGAGACAGCGAGTGCTTCCGCAGCAGCTTCCAGTGCTTGAAGTTCCAGAGGTGGTCGAGTGCCGTGATGACGGCGAGGTTGGCGAGCATCCCGAGCACGATCGAGCCCCCGACGCGAAAGTAAAAGCCATTGAAGACGTCGACGCGGAGGCCGTCGAGCTTCTCGACCGAGTTTTTCAGCGCGACCAACGTGTTGTTGTTGTACTCGATGAACGGCGGGACGTAAATGAGCAAGACGGCGCTGAGGTAGAGCGATATGACGCTGCTCAAGTTGAGGTAGCCCATGAAGGTGCTCTGGCCGTTGAACGAGGCGGTGCCAAGGAGGTTCCAGAGGATCTTGCAAACCTTGAGCACGGCGCAGTTGACCCACAGAAGACGCATGCTGCAGCAAAACATCTGCAGCGAAAAGAGAAACTGGCTGAGGTTGTTGAAGAGGTTGACGTTGCGCATAAAGATAAAGCAGTTTTGAATGTCGAGAATGACACTCAGCGCGTAGCTAAACACGAAAATGTCCGAGTTGTAGCAAAACATATCGTAGCGGAGCGCGTGCGACGCGTGGGGAAAGTACTTGGGCATGATGGTCCGCAAGACGCGCGAGATGAACGAGTCCGACTTGGTCATGTCGACCTCCATCCACTGGACCGTCCGGCGGCTCGCGAGGTATCCGCCGACGCCAAAGAAGATGCCCGTCAGCTTCACGTAGAGCGCGATGGTGCCGAACGCGCTGTTGGTCATCATGAGCCCGAGCTGGTAGACCGACCCGTCTGCAAAGGTGCTCGAGGTCACGGTGCCCGGCGCTGTCTTTGAACACAAATGTCATGTTGCAGACGCCGTGCCCGAGCTCTGCGCCCGGGTCGCACCGGGTGCAAGAGTTACGGGGGGATCCGAAAGGAGAATGGGAGATTAGAAGGCGAGAGATTAGGAGATTAGGAGGCGAGAGATTGGTGTCAAGCTGTGCCTTGATGGTTCCGATGCCAACGCCAATGGGAAAGAGAAGAAAGGGACAACACCTACGGGGCTCGAACCCCGCACCTCCTGCATGTGAAGCAGGAATCCACCGACTGAACAAAAGGTGGTCGACTAAGTGCCATCTGCATCTTGACAATTGGAATCACGTGCGTGTCGACCGTCGGAAGGTACCGAGCGCATCGACGCGTTGCCGAGGTGCTTGGTTGTGTCGCTCGTCAAGGCGTGGCAGAACGAGACCGCGTCCGCCGGGTTCATCGGGTAGGTCACGCCAACGTCATTTGGAAAGTAGGACAAGGTGTCATAGCGGAAACGTGCCGAAATGACGCCAATGTCGAGCCAGTGAGCTCGCAGTCCTGGTGGCGACCCAATCGCCCGAGGGCGAGAGATTCGGGATGCGGCAGGTCGAGCGATCGGAGCCACCCGTTCCCGAGATACTTATGGATCGAGCACTTGGTGACGAAGGCGTCGGCGGCAACAATTGCAATGAGACCCGCGAGCGCGACGACGAGGTAATAATCTCCCAGCCCTCGGTGTCGTGATGAGGTACGCTGCTGCTAGGAAATGCGCCTGTCTGGAAAGGGCGGGAAACCCTCCGCGCCAACCGCTTCCTCGCATCAAAAGTGTGCGTACACGGATCAACTATATTCGATGGTCGATGATGTGTTTCGTCATGGGAAGACATGTATATATATATATATTGGTGTACGATCAATGTAGAGAGAACACCGAGTTCTTATGGATCTTGAGGTTGAGGACGAGGCTCGAGACCAACGCCTGCGCACTGTCCTGGAGGTGCAGGTGGCGGTCGCTGTCTTGGACCACGGAGAACACGGTGCGGCTTTCGGGCGCAGGAAGTTTGCTCTTGACGATGATGGCGGTCGGCGCTGTTGTCGGATTCGGGTTCTCGGGCAAGCCAAAACACGATAAATGGCTCATGAAGAACCACTGGAGCGTACTGAGGCGGCGGACGCGGCAGATCATGAGGGCACCGCCGTTCTTCGCTTCGGGATTGGGCTCAATCCCCTCGAGGTAGTCGCACAGAATCGACGACGAATTGTACATGGCTTGGCGAGACAGCGAGTGTTGTTTCAGCAGCTTCCAGTGCACCCGGTTCCATCCATGGTCGAGGAGCGTAATCACAGCAAGGTTGAGCAGCATTCCGAGCACGACCGAGCCCCCGACGCGCATGTAAAAGCTATCGAAAAAGTCGACGCGAATCCCGTCAATCTTTTCAAACGAGTTGCGGAGGTCGGTCGCGACCGAGTTGTTGTAGTCCATAAAGGGCGGGACGTACGCCAGCAGAATGGCGCTGAGGTACAGAGAGAGCACGCTCGACCAGTTGAGCGCGCCCATGACCGCGCTCTGGCCGTTGAACGAGACGGTCCCGAGGAGGTTCCAGCCGGTTTTGGCGAGTTTCAGCACCGCGCAGTTGAGCCAGAGGAAGCGCATGCTGCAGCAAAACATCTGCAGCGAGTAAATCGGCTGCGGGCTCAAGTTGTTGAGCGCGTTGACGTTGCGCATAAAGATAAAGCAGTTTTGAATGTCCAGTAGGACGCTGAGCGCGTAGCTAAACACGAAAATGTCCGAGTTGAAGCAGAACATGTCGAAGCGCAGCGCGTGGGAGGCCTGCGGGTAGTACTTGGGCGCGACCGTGCGGAGAACGCGCGCGAGAAACCCGTCCGTGGTGTCGAGCCACTGCACCGTTCGGCGGCTCGCGAGGTACCCGCCGACGCCAAAGAAGATGCCGAGCAGCTTGACGTAGACGGACGCAATGCTCGCAAAGTTGCTGCGCAGCATGAGCCCGAGCGTGAACGTCGAGCCCTCGACAAACGCGCTCGACGTCACGCGGAGGCTCCTGGCGCTGTGATTGTACACTAACGTCATGTTGCAGACACTGTAGCCGAGCTCGGCCACCGGGTCGCAGAGCGTGCAGAACGTGCGGGGAAAGATGCGATAGTAGTTGACGAGCTGCGTCTGGGGCAAGGACGTGTTGCGGATCGGGATGTCGCGCGTGAAGCGCATGTCGACGTAGTTGCGCCCGGGCGTGTACCCCAAGGCCGCGATCTGGTCGCTGCGCATGGTCGCGTTGGCGAGGTTGGCGGTCTTGCCGTCCGAGAAGGCGTTCGTGATCGCGTTTCCGCGGTAATACGTGATGGCGCCGGAGGCCAGCGCGAGGCGCGCGGTGGTCGTCGCCGGCGTCCAGCTGAACGAATAGTTCTGCTGGAAGATGGGGCAGAGCACCGTGGCGGGCGTGAGCGGGAACTCGCCGGACGCAACGAGGTAGATGTCGTCGGCCTTGGTGTTGATCTTGTGCACCGTGGTATTCGCCATCCAGAAGCCAACGTTGGAGAGGGTGTTCACCGAGAGCCCTCGTGCAAACGAATACTGTCGAGTGAGCTGCGGAAGGAACTGCGCGGTGGCCACGGGTGTTGCGAGGAAGTACGCGTCGCCAAGGTAGTTGTTGAGCGCCCAGTTGTTGACGATCGCGTCCGTGACCAAGATGCAGATCACGAGAGCGCCGGTCGCAGTCAAGAGAAGTGCGTAGGCCTTGTGCGCATGCACGTGCCATTGGTTCTGCGCCGGCAGCGCCTCGATGACCTCGGTCAAGCGACGCTGCATGACCGAAAATGACACATGAAAAGTGGCGGGAACCGCCGCGTGAAACCTTTGAGAAAACGAACCCCTATTTTTATTACCTCCTCCAAGGGACAAAAGCCGACCCCCTACTATATCACTACTTGGTAGTAGGCTTACGACTTGTCGGCCGAGTAGAGAGCGACGAGCGAGTCGGTGGCGCCGGCGGCGAGGAGGAGGCGGTGCGGGTGGAACGCGAGGCACGAGACCGGGCCGATGCGCTAGCCACTCGAATAGCAACACTTCGTTGGAGAAAACGGTAGGAATACCTCGCCGAGAAAGCCTTCGTGGTACCGGATGAGCGCCATTTGCTCGCCGTCGTGGCGAAACACCTTGATAAATTGATTGTGCGACCCACTACACGCAGACTATCAACTTGATACTTTTAAAAACCCGCGGTGTACCTCGCAAAGAGCGGCGCGTAGTTGTGAACGCTGAGCGCCGTCATCGGCGACCGGTGCGCCTCGAGCGTCTTGACGCTCACCTTTTGGTGGCGCAGATCCCAAAACTTGAGCTCGCCCGTGACGCTGCCCGAGAGCAGCTCGTACTTGGTCGGGTACAAATGGGTGCCTACGAAAAGGAATGAAAATGAATGAAAAATCAGCAAAAATCAGCAAAAATCAGCAAATACAAACGCACCCACGATCCACGACGTATGTTCGCGCAAAATGGCCTTGACATCCGACTTGGCCCGCGGGTCGTAGAGACGCAGCGTGCCGTCGCCGCAGCCCGCGACGACAAGTCCTACGCGCGTCTAGAGTAGGTCAAAATGGGGGTTGCGCACCCCCAATGGCTTCGTCGGTCGCCATGGTCGTCACGCACGAGTCCGTCTGCGTTGGCGCCTAAACGTCGATAAGGATTCGGATCCCGTCATCGCAACGAACTTGGTAGACGCAGCGCTCTTGCTGGAGGTCCCAGCCCCGCACGACGCTCGAGTTGCCGGCGGCAAAGAGCAAGCCCGCCTGCTGCTGCCACGCCGTCACAAGCCCGACCCGCGCGTGCCCGGGACAAGGTCCGGCACGGCCGTAAAGGCGAGCGCGAGCTGCGGCTTGGTCTCGACCTACGACAACGTTCCATCAAAAGCACACGAATAATCCTAAGTCTGTACGTCGTGGTAGAGCTTGACGACGCCGTCGTCGGACGCGCAGTAGAGCAGCGCGCGGTCGTCCTCGTTGATCCACCCGACGGCCGTGAGGCGAGACCCGCGCGGGTTTAAATTCGCAAACGAGTGGCAGCGCTCGCTCGTGTCCACGTTCCAGACACTCAGCTGGTCGGTCGCGTCGGCGACGACGAGCAAGCTGCATCGTTCTCAATTGAGTTGCAAGTCGCTCAACAACGCAGGGGTACCTCGCGTACGGGTGGAACACGAGGAGCGACGTCATGTCCGAGTCCGTGTTGAGGAGCGCGCTCTGGCGCAAATTGAGCGAGTACCCTGCCAGCTCTAGCACTTTTTGAGTTTTTGAGTTTCACGTTCAACGTTGACGTACGCTCTTCCTTTTCGACGCGGAGCTGCGACGCGAGGAGCTTCCAGCGGGCGTTCCGGCGCTGACGCTCCAGCCGCACCGCGCCTGCGCAAGGTCAGACGCCATGCGGCGTACGTGCATGATTGTCCTACCTTGGGTGCTCAGCGGGTCGAGCTCGTCATCTTCGTGGCTGTCGACCGACTCGAGGAGCGGGCGGTTAAACTTGGCGCATGCCCAGCGGTACAGAGAGCTCACGAGTGCGTCCGGCAGCCGGTGGACCTCGGTCCTAATGCATCATCATCATCGTCATTCTTTTGAGTTTGAGATGCAATTTGCTGGACGTACACGGGCGCCTCGAGGCCGCCAAAGTTGTTGAGCGATCCGTGCTGGGATGCAAGGACGCTGGGCTTGGGCGGGCGACCGGCGACGACGCGGCCGCTAGTGGTGAGCAAGCTCGGGAGCGAGTTGTCGCGATGCAGTCGGCCGTGCGACGGAGAGAGCGTGTGCCCGAGGGCGCCCGTGTTGACGCGCGACACGATCATCTTGACGAGCGGCCGCAGCGGCGTGAACGGATCGTGCTGCTGCATCTCCTTGAGCGCGTGCCACACCTTGGCGTAGTGCGGCGCGTGTGGTCCCAACCCTAGATGCGCGTAAGGGGTAGGGTACCACCTTCAAAACGTACCGGCGATGGCGTCGGGCACGGCCTCCGAGCCCGTCGACTTGCGCGTGTGCTGCGCGAGGTGCTCAAAGGGCGGCTGGTAGTGCGGGTGCAGCACGAGGTGTGCGAGCGCCAAGATGGTTTCCTTGCGCACGAGGGGCGACGCGTCCGAGAGCGCCGGCACGAGGCAGTCGCTTGCGATGGGCAGATCCAGCGACGGGTGGTGGCCTAGGATCCACACCATCATGATGCGCTTGGCGCATGTGGAAAGCGCGCGTTCCGTAGCTTCCCGAGCGCAAAGACAGCCGATGCGCGCACTTCCGAGACACCGTCGGTTGCGCGATCCTTGTGCAAGTGCAAATG